GACACAACCAATGTGGACCCCAATTTTCTACAACATGATACATTTATTTTCACATATATATATATATATGGGAAAAACATTTCTCAAGCAGCTTGGGTTAAGTTTATCTCTGACTACTCCAAAATTACGTCGTTTTATTTATTTATTTCCTTATATCAATTGATTCATCTTTGAATGGTTATGATTCCCTTTTTTCGCTCTCTTCCTTTATCATTATTGATCTATCTTTGTACGGTTATGATTTAGTAGCGGAAGATAAGATTATCTCAAGCAACTTGAGAAACGATAAGCCCTATATATATAGAGAGAGAAAGAGAGAGAGAGGCAGGATCCTTTGACACCTCATCTGAGAGCCGTTAGATAAAAAAAGATCAATGGTGTCATATGCTTACAAATTAGAGTCGTTGATCTTTTTTATCTAACGGCTCTCAGATGAGACGTCAAATTTCAAATTTGACACTGATGTCAAAGGATCATACGTCACACACACACATATATATATGGAAAAAATATTTTTCATTTTAAATAACAAAAAATTATGTCATTTTAAGATAGAGATAGACACAAAATAATATTTGTTTATTCAAAATTTAAATTAAAAAAAAACCACCCACTTTCCCCCATGATTTTTATTATTTGTGTCTATCTCTCTCCTAAAATGACATAAGTTATGTCATTTAAAACGACAAACATCAAACATCAAACTATATATATATATAAGGGTTATGATCAATTTATATCGGTATAAGTGTATAACAATAATAAGTCTTACATTAAACCTTAATCATTGATTTTCATGTATCAATGATTATAATTTATTGAAAATTAAAAACAGTCACTTAATAAATCACAATCATTAGATTTACAAAATTCAATGATTAAATTTTGATATAAGATTTTTTATTCTTACACTTATGTAAGTTGATCATACTTTAAATATATATATATATATATATATATATATATATATATATATATATAAAAGAATAAAATGACTAAAGAATATTTCTTTAGTTTTTGTCCATCTAATATATTTTAGGGTAAATGGATTGTTATGTTACATGATGTAACATAACAATTCCTACTCTCGTAATGAAGAGGAGAGAGGAGAGAGAAGAGTGGAGAGAGAAAAGTTAAGGGATGAGACCCACATTCCATTGTGAGAGTAGGAATATGGTGTTATATTATGTCACATAACAATCCATTTACCCTATATTTTATTAAAATAAAGTCACAAATATTTAAAAAATTTACCTGAGTTTTATCCTTATCATAAAATAGTCAACCATCGGAACCATAAAACAAAATTAAATTTAAAAGCCGAGCAAACCAATACAATAAATTCAAATTTCTCATCAATATAAGTTTTTTTATTTATCAGTAATTAATTTTTTTTTGCCCAATGTAATTGTATTAGACCCATTTTTTAATATTTAATATACATCTTTTTAATTCATATTTTGTTATAATCTTTTTTATGGATCTTAGTTATCCTTTTGAGATGAGTTAATTTTCGGTATTTTTATAAATTTTAACTTTTTAAATTAGTTATGAATTGGATCCTCCTTACAGATATATTTAATGAAAATTAAATTCAGATTTTTTTTTATTATATTTAGTCTGTGTTGTCAAATGAATTAGAAACTTAAACTCATTGAATTATTAGAAACATTTTTCAAATCAACAAAATGGGACGGTACCTTAAACAGTTAAACAAAGCATATAATAACGCTGAAGGCAATTTAATTCCACTCGAGGGGGGAGAGAGATTCCCGGAGAACCGTGCGTGGGCTTAATCTTAAACCCATTAATTATCTCAATTAATAAATGTGCTTTTAAATCGTAATCTCGATTTCTTGACAATAAAAAAGGTACTATACGTGCAAGACAACTCAGCTCCCGCTTTATTATTTTATTCACCTTATTGGACCCCGCAAAAAAAATAACTTAATGAACTGTTTGTTAATTCATTACCCTAGTTTTTGAGCGAATTCGATTCTATAGCATTATAGTAAGGAAAGCTTTTTGCTGTTTCCTAAAAAAAAAATAATAGTTTTTTTTTTTTTTTGCTGTTTTGTAAACAGCGCGAATAGAGACAAACCTTCATTTAACATGAGATCTGAGCCGTTCATATCGCCCCTCTCAGGCTATCTTTCTCTCACATTACTGTCTCTCGAGAGAGTCTTCAGCTTTTGGACACAAAAGGGACAGTTCTACGGAGTCCATCCCAGTGAGTGAAACCCCATCCCATACTCCCACGTCATAGACATCGCCTGACCATAGTACCCTTTCTCATGCAAAGCGAGGAGGGAAAATAATGAAGGGTAACTCAGTCATTTCAGTATTAACCTCGCCAATAATTTTTGCAGTGCTCCTCACTCATGCATTGCTACCATTGCCAATTTATTGCTAGCTATGGGCAAAATCATGATTTTTTTGTTTTCTTCCGTTTTTTTTTTTTTTGAAGGAGGAAAATAATGCCACCGAGGTTACTGTTTAGCTTTTTATTGGATACGTGTAACTAAAATGCAACATGTACGACTCTATGACCCCACACTGAAAAAAATAAAAATAAAAAGGTTCTGAGAGTGCTGAGGTGGATGGGGTTTGATTGAGATGCAACGTGCAGCTTGTTTATACTTTAATCGATTCCTCAGCAAAATCATAATGACCCTTCCATTGGATTGCTCGCTGCTTCTCGTATTTTCTTGCTTCTTTATGTTTCTCTTACACTTTTCTCCCCTTACAAGTCTCGTATGACTTCTCATTTGTATATTTGTTATGATTTACAATTTACATGCAAGGAGTAGTTATTTTTTTTCAAATAAATCACAAGTATTTTGGACTGAAAGTCTGAAAGTACTCATATCATAGTGAAACTAATTTTCTCAAAGAAAAATTTTTAAACCCAAAATTTTATTTAAATAAAATTAAATATGTATCACTTGAACGATCTTCCTTTGTTCAATGAGTCATTATTAAATATTTTGGTTAAGTGAACATTTTAATTGGAAGATATGCACATACTCTGTCTGAACGAAATTGCATTGAGATATAAGGGGCATCTTAATCCAATGCTTAAAAATCTACATATATTATCAAGGGGTTGAATTATTTTATATCCTGTATTTTCAATTTTAATTATTGATTTTTTATAAATAAATTTAAATTGTTAGATAAATATAATTCAGTGATTAAGATTGAATAATAGATTTATTACTTTTTACATCCTTATAAATTATTCTTATATTGATATAAGGGGTTGAATTATTTTATATCCCGTATTTTCATTTTTAATTATTGATTTTTTATTGATAAATTTAAACTGTTAGATACATATAAATCAGTGATTAAGATTGAATGATAAATTTATTACTTTTTTACATCCATATAAATTATTCTTATATTGATATAGGTCGATGATTTTCCTATTACTAATATGATGAAATCCTTAGTAATGCCATTTATGTACTCCAAACTAATTTTCCTAATTCTACCAATATAGTTAATAAAATTATCATCTAAATAAAATTTGAAAGACAGACTGAGATGTTGTCAGAATGCGAATTTCATACACAATACACAATCAAAATAAATATAGTTGTATATGAAAAGGAAAAACTAGGTGGTTGGTGTTTTGAATTCTTTATTTCCTTTGGAGGTAGGCTGACATGATTGAACTCTTTCTATATAGAATGTGACTGAATATATTCTATGGATGAAAGCCAATCAATTCTTGGCTTGCTAAACTTGTTCATCTACTTAGTTTCTCGTTGGATATCGCCAACTTGGCTAATCTAACACCTTTTAGAAAATTGCTTGATAATTATTTGTTGCTACAGTTATAAGATAATATATTACTAAGTAAAGTTCAATGACCAGCATCTACCAAAAAGGGAAGAAAAAGGATCGCTGCCCAATAGGGTAAAAAGGCTAGTGTACCGGCCATAAATCCGGATTATGGATCTTGAGTTTAAACTCATGTTCCTTTTCCACTCAACAATATAATGTGTCTGCCACATCACTACGAGAATTGCTCCATATAAATTGTCAATAACCGATTCGAGAACTCTTGTAAATATAAAGATAGTACAAATGAAATACACTCTAGGTTGATCAGACTCATTCACACATATCAAGCAAACATATTTGACTATAATCCTAACTTATAGTTGGTGTTCACTCCGAATAATATTAGTGTTTTTAATTGATATTACGGGCTACGCATTCGTGCTCGTACCATACCCATACGGTAAATAATGGAATCGATCATTACATTAGTGTGGATGCTGCCATTCCATTAATAAAGTGGACCAAGCTTTCTTTTGGGGTAGAGATGAGGGGTTAAAGTGGATCGGATTGAGTAGGTGAACAAGTTTGATACAAAGTGTGTGCGAAACTGGAAACAGATATCTGACTGTTAGAATCATAGAATGAAACAAGTCACATTGATATGATTGGACGGCCATGATGATGATGTCAAGATTTCCAGACTCTCCTTCATATCATTCAATTCCCTAATAAATATACATAAATTTTAACCTTTTATCTTTTCGGATTGAAATATAATATCCCTGCATCAAAAGTGGTCCCCCTGCATCCTCTCCCTCAGATCCAGCCGTGCAACGCGAATCATGAGATTCCCTTCCACACTCACTTCTTACACATGATAACACTTTATCAAATCCCCCCACGATAAAACCACGTCGTTCCTTCCATTTCGACGAGTCGCGAGAAAATAACGACATAAACAAATATCGTCCCATTTGGTCCACGACTTTTACGTACACCCGTTTTCTGCGGCTGCTCTTGCATCCCTCTCAACCGATAAGATCAGCTTCTGATACATCCCATCCAACGGCTTCTATTCACTTCTCTCACCACGTGTCTCTGCCATAATTGCCGATAACACACCACCTTCAAACCACTTATTTAACCATAGTTAATTTCTAACCTTACCTGGCATAACATAAACTCCCTTATCCTCTGCCTCTCTCTCTCTCTCTCTCTCTCTCTCTCTATCTCACTTACACAGACATATACCCTACTCTCTGGCAACTCCGAGCTCGTTAATGGCGTCTCAGATCTAACAGTACCAGTGTTCCAAACTTGTTACTTTCAGGCTTTGACACTCATCCACAAACCGACGCCGTTTTTTTCTCTTTGAGGAAATTCTTCTTCTTGAGTAGTTTTTTCCATATGCAGAGAATGGCGTACATGTTCCCTGAGGAGGTGCTCGAGCACGTGTTCTCGTTCATTCAGTGTGACGAGGACCGCAACGCCATCTCGCTGGTGTGCAAGTCCTGGTACGAGATCGAGCGTTGGTGCAGGAGGAAAGTTTTCGTTGGGAACTGCTATGCCGTGAGCCCTATGATGGTGATCAAGCGGTTCCCGGAGGTGAGATCCATTGCTCTGAAAGGGAAGCCACATTTCGCGGACTTCAATTTGGTCCCTGAGGGATGGGGTGGTTACGTTTGCCCTTGGATCGCGGCTATGTCTGGTGCCTTTCCCTGGCTCGAGGAGATCAGACTCAAGAGGATGGTCATCACGGACGAGAGCTTGGAGCTCATTGCTAAATCCTTCAAAAACTTCAAAGTGTTGGTCCTCACCTCCTGTGAGGGTTTTACTACTGATGGACTTGCCGCCATTGCCAGCAATTGCAGGTTTCTTCTTCTTTTTTGCTTCTTGATTTTCCTGAAAATTTGGTTGGTTTGGGTAGAGTGAGTATAAGTAGAGCGAAGCGAATTGGAGTTTGTAGCGTGTTTTTTACATTGCCGGATTTTGTGGATTCTGATTGGCAGTAGGTAAGTAACATGCCTCTCGTCGCCGGAAGCATCTGAAGTTCGGATCTTAGCTTTTGAGTTGTTTTGCGTTATGGAAAATATGACAAGGGCTCTCTTGCCATCTGAGGATTTAGTAGCCTTTTTATGATCAGATTTGGCTCATTTATGTTCATTTTCAAGGCTGTGTGCAGTGAAATGAAATGTTAAATATTTTGGAATTTTTATATTTCTTACGTCTTCGAGTTAGGGCTTAGTTCCAACAAAAGAAATTCGAATGCAAATTACGTTCTATCTTGAATGTTCTTTTTGCCTCTTTCTTTTATACGAGTTCTTATAACGGACCTTATTGTGAATTCGACAGACTTATCGTTATTTTCAGGTTTTTGTTAGATCCCCTTTCCCTTCCCCTTTAAAGCATTCATGACAACCTTTTTTCTGTATGGTTTTATTTTGGCGCTATTTCTAAATTTTTTTGATAGATTTTTAAAAAACCTTATGATTATTAGTTGTGGTTGTCTTTTTTTGTCCCCCCCCCCCCCCCGCTTTGATGTGATTTCGGGGTTAAGATTTGGCCACATATTGGTTTAAATGACTATTGTAGTCAGGATTGCAAGAGATGCTTTATTCTTTTTTAAATTTTTTTATATTCTTTTTGGTTGATTATTTGACTCATGCGCCTGCTGGATATTCAAATTTAGGTTGTTTACTAAATATTTTCGGTTGCATCGTGATTGTTTTTCTTAAAATATTTAATTAAATGCAGTACCTGCATTTTCCCCCTCAATTCATAGTTGGAAATTCGCTTGTTGAGAGACACTTTGCAGTTTTTATTTGATAACGAATTAGAGGTTGTGGTCTGAACCATGTGAGAGATAAACTAATTTTCGTTTCTTCTAAACTTATGCTTTATGCTTGGTGCTTCTGAAGTGTTGAATCGGATTTTATGCTAACATTAGGTCATTGTAAATGACAATGATGTTAGATATTGGCTCAGTGTGGTTCAATTTACTACATTTTTCTTCGTAAACAAACCTAGAGGGATGCCAGTTTCTGAAATGAAGTGTCTTGACACTGTGATTGATAAATCCTTTGTCTGCTAATACATTGTAGGAATTTGAGGGAGTTGGACTTGCACGAGAGTGAAGTGGAGGACCTTAGTGGGCATTGGCTAAGCCATTTTCCTGATTCCTACACATCATTAGTTTCACTCAACATCTCTTGCTTAGTCAATGAGGTGGGTTTGTCTGCCCTAGAGCGCCTGATTGGTAGGTGCCCCAACTTGCAGACTCTCCGCCTCAATCGTGCTGTTCCCCTTGATAGGCTACCTAACCTACTTCGCCGGTGTCCTCAGCTGGTTGAGTTAGGCACAGGAGTCTACTCAACTGACATGCGACCCGAGGTGTTCTCAAACCTGGCAACAGCATTTTCTGAGTGCAAGCAATTGAAGAGCTTGTCTGGCTTTTGGGATGTGCTCCCATCCTACCTTCCAGCTGTCTATCCCATCTGCTCCAGGCTAACATCACTAAACTTGAGTTATGCTATTATGCAAAGCTCTGATCTTATCAATCTTATCAGTCAGTGTCCAAAATTGTTGCGGTTATGGGTATGTCTGATTTACTTAGATTTTATGTTTGCATCACAGATTCACTGCCCCTATTTATACTGTAAATTCTTATGCTAATTAAGGTCATTGTTATAGGTGCTGGATTACATTGAAGATGCTGGTCTTGCCGCCCTTGCTGCGTCATGCAAAGATCTAAAGGAGTTAAGGGTGTTCCCATCTGACCCATATGTTTTAGAACCAAATGTTTCTTTGACAGAGCAGGGCCTTGTTTCTGTGTCTGAAGGTTGCCCCAAGCTCGAGTCAGTTCTATATTTTTGTCGTCAAATGTCTAATGTTGCCCTAAATACTATTGCGCGGAACAGGCCTAATTTGACTTGTTTTCGCCTGTGCATTATTGAGCCTCGTACTCCTGACCATCTTACCCTTCAACCACTGGACTCTGGTTTCGGAGCTATTGTAGAGCATTGCAAGGATCTTCAGCGCCTTTCCCTATCCGGTCTTCTTACTGACCGTGTTTTTGATTATATTGGGACTTATGGGAAGAAGCTGGAGATGCTATCTGTGGCTTTTGCTGGAGATAGTGATCTGGGACTTCATTATGTGCTGTCTGGGTGTGAGAATCTTAAAAAGCTGGAGATCAGGGACTGCCCCTTTGGTGACAAGGCTCTTTTGGCCAATGCTGCAAAGCTGGAGACAATGCGATCCCTTTGGATGTCCACTTGCTCAGTGAGCTATGGAGCGTGTAAGCTTCTGGGTCAGAAACTGCCCAGACTTAATGTGGAAGTCATTGACGAGAGAGGACCTCCAGATTCAAGGCCAGAGAGTTGCCCTGTTGAGAAGCTTTATATATACAGGACTATCGCCGGGCCGAGGTTGGACATGCCTGGTTTTGTGTGTACAATGGAGGATGATTCTTCACTAAGGCTTGAGTGATCACGCCGTGGATTGAGCCAAAGAATCAATGCAAATTTGATGTGGTGGGGAATTGTTAATAGCAGGTACATGCTCAGTATGCAGTTCACTAATGAAATGTACTGTTGCCTACCTGGCTTATGTAGTTGCGGTGGTGGTTGTGCTGGGTACAGGAGGAGTACACAGAAGGCTTGAGATTGATTGCCATTCATTTTACACTTTGGCTGAGCTACGGGATGCCAATTTACTGATTAATAAAGAGACTGAAACTCTCTTGCTGCATGTGCGTTAGCAATTGTTATATTATTCTTCATATTGCGGACTTCAATTTGTTTGCATGTTAACTTTGCTTCCGTAGTAAGATATTGGACACTCAATTATCGTTGTTATTCTTCCCATTGAATAATATTCATTTTCTAATGCAACTTTGTTGGTTCTCCGCAACTTTGATGCATTTATTTCATTGTACCTTGCTTTCTCTTGTTCGATTCAAAGTCGCTCGATGCTGAATACAATTGGGATAAACTATCGGATTCCAATGCATGTGCTGTGCTAACCCAAGAATGGTTCTACTGTTGAAATGGTTTTAGCATTTCAATGGAATGATTTGAGGTATTTCTTTCATTGGACATTGGTTCTGATCTTTAAGATCATGCTGAAACTCCATATCCTTAATTCTTGGTTGCCTATGTTGTGCTTGGTAAAATCTCCCCATAAGATATAGGCATAATAAAACTAGGCCCGTTTGGGTAGGCACGTAAAAATAGTATTTTTTTGTGCCTGCATATTTTAGAAGCGTTTTTAATAAAAGTTAAAGTTGTTTAAATTTTTAAAAAATATTTGATTTTGCTTTTTTTAAAATCTAAAATTTTTATTTTCTTAAAAAAGCAAGTTTTAATATTTTTTTGTCACTTCTGTTTTTTTTGTTTTTAGAGTAGACATTCAATTAAACTTTGTAGAAGTGTTGTTTTTTTTTTTTTTTTTTTTCTGTAAAAGAAAGCAGCTTTTGGCTAAAAATTTTTTCATCCAAATGGGTCCTAAATTGTTCAGCAACCTTTGCATGAGAAGAAAATTATGGCAACCTTGTAATTTTTTATTTTTTTATTTTTTTTTATTTTTAAGTGAGGGATATATTTTATGGCATAGAATGTGAAATTATGATTGAAAAATAAGGAAGTCAATTTTAATATTTTTATAATTTGTTATATATTTATACATATTTCATCATTATTTTAATTGTTAAATTTTCTAAAAGAACTAAATGCAAAGCTGTTAACAGTTGTAACTGCTTTATTAATCTCTTTCACTCAATTTTTAACAGTTTTTATTTCATTCAAATGGTGTTCAATAAATTACGGGAAAATATAGAATTATAAACATGAAATGATGAAGTTTTATTTAATTTTTCTATAGCTTTTATTACATATATTATTTTATGCTAACTAAATCATAAGTCATCTAGTTCGAGCGACTTTGATCCATTTTAGCTGAAAAGGAGAGTGGAAACGTAAACTAGCTGTAATTGAATGGAGAGTATGATTATAAGGTATATTTTACAGCTTGCTAAATCCAAATCCAGGGAGTGTCTAAAAGCCTGCAAATGGATATTTTGAGGACTGGAGGAGCCGTAAGCTTTTGTGTTTCTTGCGGAGAAGAGCAATCAGGTTTCAGGTGGCTTATGCAGTATGATTAGTGAATGGCCCAAATTTTGTAGGCACTGTCATTTCAAAAAGTAAAAGAAATAAGAAAGGTAAATGGAAACTGCACTGGTAAATGCCCTCATGTTCGGTGACACCTGCTTTTCATTCAATGTTTATAGGGGAAGAATAGTGCAGATGCCTCGACTGCTGAGCCACGTGATAGATTCGGTGACTTTGCATGGCCTCCGCAGCTTTATGCTTCTTTCTTTCAACCTCTCTTATCTACCCACTAGTTTAATAATAATCATACAAAAGATACTCATATTTTTCTAAATAATGTTATCAAAATCGGTTTGGTTATTGATCCGGTCGAAGTACTGGATTACTGGGTCGTTGGATGAATCAGTGAGTCACTGGTTCAAACGCAAGACCCGATAATTATATACAATTTTATAATTTATATTAAAAAATTATAAAAATACTCAAATATTTAAAAGAAGACAAAAAAATCAAATATTTTAATATAAAAAATAATAAATCACATATTATTATACGATAAAGGATCAAACAAAAATATAATGATCGTGATATGAGACTTTAGGTCAGAAAATGACTTCTTTAATTATAAATCAAATCAAAATTTTCTGCATAGTGCATAATTGAGATAATATTAATGTTGTAGGTACATAACTTATGCAAGTCAATAAGCAAAAAAATATTCAAATATGTCCATTATAATTTTTTTTGAAATTTTTTTTTTTTTTTTGGGACTGGGCTGGGTCATCGATTTTCATGAAAATCGGCTGGGTCGGACCGAGTCGCATCAGTTCTGATGCATGGCCAGTTCGTTGCTTCAACCAAACTAATTATATGATCAATTTACCAGCTCCCAGATCAATCCGACATCCGATTTTATCAACAGTGCTTCTAAGCATTCTCCCATCAGAACAGGTACCACACTACCACCTCAGTTCTATAAGCCTTTGTTTAATGAACTCTATCATGTCAATTAAATTTATGACAAGAGAGTGAGAAGAACTTTTCTAAAACTAAAAAAATGAAAAAAGAAAGAAATTGAAACTGAAAAATCAGCAGAAAGAAAATATAAATTAAATAACGAAAGTAGAAGAACATGACCAAAATTTATTTTTTAACAAATTTTGTATCCAAATGTCAATAACATTTTTTATCAGACTGTCACGTGGCATAATTTGTTATGACTGATAGCAAATTATGTTCGCCAATAATTTTGTGACACGTGATATACTTTAGCAAGAAAAAGTTGATGTGTCATAATTCGCTACTAATGATAGAGAATTTTGTTTGCAATATGACCACGTGTCACAAAATTATTGGCGAACATAATTTGCTATAACTTGTAACGAATTATGCCACGTGATAATATGATAAAAAGTACTAATTTGTGTGACATTTGAATAATTTTTTTTTCAAAAAATAACACTTTGATCACTCTTTCAAAAGTAGAACCCGAGCTGGACAAGCATACAAGACAATAATAAAATGGGATTATATTTTCTTATGTAACATAAGATAAGATATCTCATGTTACACTCACAAACTTAGGTGGGTCCCATTGCATAGAAAAAAGAGAAAAAGAATTTGAAGTGGGTCCCACGTCTTTTTGAGTGTGTAGGAGAGACTTATTGTCTCCTATCACATGAGACTAATATTTCCCTAATAAAATTATGTTGCACGGCCACCCTAGTCCCCACTAAAGTTATATATCCAATCAATAAAGAAAAAGTGGTAAAAGGGAAGGGTCAAGATGTGTGAGGAGTGAGGGCTCGTTTCATTGGTTAATAATGCCCGCACGTTTTCATGTTTATGATCATCATCATTTATATTCTCTTATTACTATGGTCCTTTTGATCATTAATTCATTCACCCTGAGTTTTGCCTGTTACATATCTTTCATTCCGATATACTGTTCATTCGCACAGTCATTATTATATTACAGTTGCAATTGGATGCTGTATGATTACACAGGTTACAATGACCCTTCTGCTCAAAGTTACCAGTTTTGCTTTGCACTTTAATTAGTAGGGACCCAAACTAATTTCAAACTTGAATTTTTCAGTTACGCTCGGAGTCTAACGCGACTGTTGAATAGTCCACTCCAGCATCATGGTCTTGGGCCTCAATGATTGGGCTTGCGTTCATTTAAGCAAATTGGCTATACAATGTCTGCTCTTCATTGTGTGGTAGACTGAAAAATTAAAACCCATAGTACAAAAAAGTGTGCTTCATAAATCATGCACCACATTGTAGCCCAGCCCATAATGCTAAAACCATGAAATATTCTAATTTCTAACTAAAATAGATGCATTTGCTACGAAGGTGACAATTGATCTCTCTCTGGTAAAGTGTGTCAAAGCACGCATTTATTAAGATTGAACTAGCTTTTTACATTGGTGCTTTGCATTAGATTTCATTTACAAATTTATTTTTTACAAATTACACTAAGTATGACCGGTCATACATTTTTGATTGAAATATGACTGATCATACTTAGTGTAATTTGTAAACAAATTTTTTTGTAAATATAACGTTTTCTTAATATTATATAGATTTGAGGTTTCTCCGGTGGATTTTACTTTTTTTTCTTTTTTTTTTAATTGGATTTCATTCACTTTCAAATATATGCAGAATATAAAATAATCTCTTGCGAAAAAAATATTAATGTCATATTATTTATACGGTTATCAAAATAAATTAAGAAGTTTTATTTTTGAATTAGAAAATGACAGAAATTATCATTTTATTTCCTTATGTGAGATAGTTATATTTAAATTAACCTGACATTTGAAAAGTAAAAATAATTAACTTATTATTTCAAGGGAATGATATAAGTTTTATCACCTAAATGAAATACTATAATTTAAATATGAAATTTGAATTGAATTCAGTTTTTTTTTTTTAAAAAATATAAAGGTTAACTGTTAGAGGATATAATTGTGTTAAGGAAATGTGAATTTGGAAAGAAAAAAAAGCATATACAATAAACTATGACATTAACTCTACTTCTATTTCATAAAATAATATATAGAGTTAATATCCTTTTAGATATATAAAACAACAAGAATATATATATTTTGATTTTTGTATGACCCTACTGTTTTGGGATAATATGGGCGTAGGTTTTTCTCGTATATATATATATATAAAACAGTTTTTGAGTTTTTTAAATAAAAAAATAAAAAATAAAAAAACTTATTTGGAAAGAATTGTTTTAACAAATGACTTCAAAAATTTAAGGATATTCTCAATTTTTTTTTTGCCGTGATTTATATAATGGCAAATTTGTAAATAATTTTAAATTATTTTATGGTAGCGATTTTGTAATTATAAAGCTTTATTAATGGCCTTTTTATAAATAATTATAACTTCTTTATAATTTTAAATCTAACTCTATTCAAATAAATTTTATTATTTTTTTATTGTCAAAATTAATTTTCAAAATTTATATTCAAAAGAATTTAAAAAAAAATAAAAAAAATAAAATCATATTGAATCAGACCCAAGAGTTGTTGAAAAGTAAGCAAGTCAAGTGATGAGAGTTTCTTCAGGATAATAATAATAATAAAAAAGTTGTTGTAATGTGAGTTTAATTAAACCAATTTGGTCGATAGCTATCACTCTCAGCCTAAAGAAATGTACTGTTTGACAATTCTTCCATTTCGTTTGCGCAACGCGTAAGCATTGGAAAACAGGAAGATTTTTATTGCAGTTGCACGGAATTTTGTGAAGGAGGTATTAATGTGATTTGAATTTTGTCGGTGGTGACTGGTGAGTTTACCATACCTTAGGATATAATAAAAACTTTACTTTCTTGCTAAAATTAATTCAATATTAAATAATTAAGAGAATGTTTGGAAAATTAATTAAAAGGATATATATAAGGAGAAAATATTTCTGTTTTAAATGAAAAAAATTTTACGAATAATTCATCATGTCTTATAAGTAAGACATAGATATAGGATGATGACTTTTTTTTTAATTAATAGATCCCACTTTTATTAAAAAATTATCTCTGTGGTAAATATCCTTCTTTGCCATAATTGCAGATCCAATAAACCCTATATATAATCCGAAGGTGCACGATTCGATTTTAACCCAACCCTAAATGATTCGGTTCAGAAAAATTAAAATGATTTTAAAAGGTAATTCAGTGCTTAAATCAATTCATAAGACACTTTAATGTTTCTACAGTGAATGTAGATAAGTTATTTATATTTGCTCTCAAAATTACGTTGTTTTGAGTTAAAAAATTATAATGAAAAAGATTATTATACCTTTGAAATAAATTATAATTATAAAAACACATTAATTTTCACCTCAAAACAACGTCGTTTTGAGATCAATGTAAATAAGTTATCTACGCTGTAGAAAAAGCGAACCCTTCATAAAATTTGGATTATTAAATCAATTAGAAAAAAATATGGTGTGATTTAATTTGATTTGGTTCATTTAATTTTTTTTACATTCTTAAAAGCGAGTGTGGTTGGATTCAATTTTTAATCAGAACAAAATTAATAAATCGTAAACCGATGTTGAATATACTATTTGATTTTTAAACCAATTAAAAAAGGATTTTTTTTTTATTTTTTTTTTTGCAAAATATTATGAAAGTATTACAGAATATTTCTGTTGAATATCCTATTATAACAAAAAAGAGAGAGAATGTTAGTGAAATACTATGGGACCACTTACTCTTATATAGTTATATGTCTATAGCATAAATAAATTTTGTGCAATAAAAACAGAAATATTAAACTTATTTTTTTTTATTTGGTTCGAATTAATTTATGGCTTCGATTCATTTGATTTTTTTTTTTCACACCTCTCTATATGACACTCTGACTTAATATTGTTGTTGCGTTTAAACTTTAACGTCTCTCCCCTTTACTCGCTTGGCTCTCCGGCTGAATCCAATCGTCGGCAATTGCTCCGGTAAATCTCTGCTCAGCTGTTATTTTTTGTCTGTACATTTAACAAAGTTTGAGATATATTTTCAGTGTGGGTTTTTCTTTGATTTTTGGACACTGTACTGTGAGACGAGTGATGCTCTGTTTTGAAACTTTTAAGTATAGATAATTTTGTTATGAATTGTTGACATGTGGGTCTTCGGGAAAAGGTGAGGTTTGCGTAAACACAATGTAATTTTCCCAGTGATGGTATTTGGTTTCATTTCGAATCAATTTCCCAGTTTCTCACAGCCTCAAGTTCAGGTACAACACAACCAAAAATCTGAACTTCTTTCAGTCATGCATCTCTTACAAAGGAAAGGAAATTCATCTTTTATTTAACATAAAAGAAATCATAACCATAATCATATAAAAATAAATTAATGTAATGATTTTGTAATTATTTATTTTAATAATTTTTTTTTCCTTTGTTTTCTTATCACCATTGATTTACTTTTTATATAGTTATAATTTTCACATATAATTATGTCAAATTAAATAAGACATGCAAGGATCCATTCTAAAAAGGAGATAACCTATTTGGTTGGTTTACTCTGTTTCTTATTATAATTAAACTCTCACTATTCATCTACTATTAATTAATATAAAATGTCACTTAATCCGTATTTTTTATCTCGTAAGAATTCATTTGGTATAAAAATCAATAAAAATAATAGGAAACAACCTTTTTGATTTGCTATACTCCCTTTCCCATCTACAAATTGGATACAGTCTAATTTAAGATGAATTTAAAACATAGAGATGAATTTCTCACTTTGTGTCAGTATGAGAAATAACAAACATAATAAATTAGGAAAGAATTCGTTTACAAACTTTTTTGAAACTTTTTTATAAGATAATGCATTTAGTGTTCTCCTAGAAGAAGACAATGTAATTTGTAAGAGTTTGTAAACAAAAATTTTGTAAATATAACCTGCTCCTAATAAAATATATAAATTATTTGATTGATTAGACTTTAGCTTGACTCCAGACAGGCTAACTTAACCCTAGTTCTTCACGAACCTACACATGATCTTCTTGTCAACACCGAGTACCTAAGTCATCACCTAAAAGTTAATCGTAGTCAACCCCACCAATTTATGTCAATTGAGCCAATGACTTGACTCGACTAATTTAATGTGTCTAATTACAATTAACGACTATAGCAAAAAAGATTTGTACATAAAAGAAGCAAGTGACATGATTTTATATTAGTTAATCTTACAAACTTAGGGTAAAATATTTTGAGGAAAGATATCTTGTGTATGCAATTGAAAAAATAATGTTAATCTGGGAATAACTCATTTCAATTCAGGCTAACGGAGCTGATTTCGTTTCCTTATGAGCTTATTTTGATGACTAGCTTCTTAAATCTCAGAAGAAAAAAAAGATAGAAGACCACGTCAATGGTTTGGTTTAGTCCTAAGTTTGGGATTAGGATTAGTGGAATCCACGATTTCTAGAAAGATCTTGAATATTGTTGTTTGGTTAGTAGGTATGTCAAGGAAAGATTAAAAAAATCAACGTTTCGTAAGGTAGGGGCTGGCCATAAATTTTGTACACGAATTCAAATTGACTGAATATGAAACTTCTAGTTGGGATGGATGGTCTAAGAAAATGTCATTGGAGCTATGTTTTTTAATTTTCAAACAAAGCTGCGATTAAAATGCATTAAATGAACTACCATAGTAGAACAAAATTGAAATTCTTTTGTAATAAAAGATTATATTACATCATGCTATTTACAAGTCAACATTGACGCAACTCAAAACCATGAAAGAGGAAGATACAAGTTATAAATAAATAACATGAATACTATGGCCATACATGCATTTACTTACTTCATCTTCTTTTTCTCAGAGCAGGATTTTCACAGGCTAAAGCATATAGCAATGGGGAAGCCTGTTTGCACGGAACTTTGTTTTGATTTCACGGGACTTCTCATGGCGCTGGTTATTGCTCTCGCTCTCATGGCCGTCTGCTCTCCTCGGAAGCGGGTTGTGGTGTGTCGCTGGCCTTAGAACTATTTTTCAGAATCTGTTGTCACTTGTCACAGACACGTTGCTGATTGCCCTCAATCTTAATTTTGTTCTATTTTGTGTGTATGGGCTAAATGTTCATTCCACTGGTTTCCTTACCCTCATGTGATTTTATCTTTGTGTAATCCATATAGCAAAAAACTGAATAGAACTTCTGTTCTGTATGTGATGCAGGAGAGTTTTGATGTGCTATCTTAATTTGCTCTCTTAGATAACTAGATTCTCTCTGTCCGTACTATGGAAATGCACAAATAAATGCTACTTTTCAATAAGGTTCTCACACCCACTTGCAAGGATAATTAACGGGCATCAATCGGGATGAGTTTTGTTACAGGAACTTAGGTTTACTCTTTCAAGCGGATGATGACTGTTGTACAATGTTTTTCTCGCATATCTCACGTATTGGCGACTTCAAAATCTTTCATTGAGTAAGTTGTCGAGTAAATTGGAATTACCAATGAAATTTCACTGAGTTACCCCATGTGAGATCCGTGAAAGAAAACGTACATGCAATTTTATTTATCCCTTTACTGCATTTGGATGGTTTTTAAATGAAAAGCAGCAGACTAGATGCACTTTTAAGGACTCCAATATATAACTGATAATAAATAGACTAAAGTTTGCATGATAAACATTCTCATTTTTTAATATTTAATTGTTTCTATATTCGCGGAAATGCTAACTTAAATGCACACACTACTTTATCAATTTTGGTATTACTTCTTATACAACCATAACACTGATGAAACTGGTAATTTATTAACACAAAATTCTGGTGAACAATAGTATGACCCGAAAGTTGCACAATCACATATTCTATAATCAAAATATTCCCACCGTTAAGAAGCACATCGTTCCTCAGTAACTGCCCTACTCAAGCTACAGCACTGAATTAATGTCACTCGTTCTCAGTAAAAACATTACCATGCTAATAAAATTCAAGAGAAGGGATGGTCTTGCGATTCGCCTTTTTCTACGCCACTACTCAGGATTTATTGTCAGCTGCACTTTTAGTTGAACCTTGAATAGTCTCCAAAATATGCTCAATTCTGTATTTCATAACAGGCTGCCCCTTACGGGTCTTCTTAAGCATTTTTTCCCGCAAATCCTTTCTCCGAGCTTCAGATTTTTCTCTCTCTTTCTTCTTTGCCTTAAGAACTGCCTCTCTCTCCATTCTTTCTTTCTCTTTCTCTTCATGCTTCTTCCAGTACAATTCTTCCAAACTAAGGGCACTATTCTTCTTCGTCTTCCTCTCACTCTTGTCTTTATCTTCTTCAGTTTCATTCACATTCTGCAACAGCAAAAAGGAAGGTAAATGGATAGTATACTAAACAAAATATACATTCAAGAGAGTAATTTATGTATTGGAATAACATTATAAGTTCTCAGACTCCATCACTTTGCCAATCATGTTATTAAGGCATAAAGAACCTCAGATAAATCAACATTCTGAGGCTGAGACATCAGCTCTTTTAAACCAAGAAAATCACAATTTCACTTTTATGACACAGGATAGTTACTGAATTCTATAAAAGGTGGCAAAACAATATCAGAATCATTAGCACATCCGACTAATTAGCTATGTCTTGACCTACAAATAAGTCATTACAATCTCACAGAAAGCAGCAAATATGATCACCAAACCTCAGTTAGTCTCTGGACCAAGGAGGGATTGTTCTGCTGGTTTTGCTGCTTTAGCAACTTCTTAAACTTATTCACATTCTTAGCATTCTTATGAAACTCCCTTTGCTTTTCTGACAACAAAGAAACAACATCCATGAGAAGTGTATAATGAAGTATTATATGACAAAGGAACTTAAGTTAGATATTGTGACACCCAGGTTCACATCCCAATTCGTAAGCCGATATTATAAATTATTGGCAAGTGCAAAAAGAAAGAAGTCTTTGCATATGTTTTATGAATGAAATATTGTAAGATATCAGGACAAGGACTTGAGGTTTGATTATCACAAAAATATTCAATTATATTAACAAAACCATGTGAAGGTGCATTAGCGAAAAACAAAAACCCTAGCTCCAAAATATTAAGGGACAAACCCTTGTGCATGAATTCAAAGGTTTGTTAGTGAATCCTGCGCAGAGACCAAAGAAAAACTTATAGCTCATATTATTGATAAAGCCAACTCTAAAGTTCACCCAACTAGCATCATTTTTTTCTTTCTATAAATTGGGGATGTTATTGGGCACCAAAGATTAAAGTTTCTTAATCAAGTTTCATATCCAACAGGAACAATCACAAGCATGTGGTATATTAACAATATATAATTGAATTTCCACCTAATCATGCAACTGAATCCATAACCACTCAACACCCAACAATTTCAAAAATGAAGAAGAAGCCCTACATTGTTCTTCTTTTTCTTTTCATTCATTGTGTGAAAAGCAAGTTATTACTCAAATAAATCACTAATATAGTCTACACAGTCACACAGAAAAATATGACAGGGTTGAAAGCATTGAGAGGAAGTTGAACGAACAAAAAGAGAAACTTGCATACTTATGAGAGCTGGGTTATAGTGATTGTTCCTGGATTTGGCATTGGCGAAAACGTCGAGCGAAAGGCCACTTCCGCCCAACCTCGAAATGTTCTTCTTCTTCATCATCATTTGTTTCTTCTTGTTGTTGTCATTACCGCTGCGTTCCTCGTTCTTATTCTTCATTGTCGGAAGATGGAGATTCTTCAAAGTTCAAAGCAATTCAGGGAACAGCAGTGAACAAGTTGCAAACCCTAATTTGCAGAGTACCAATGTCGGTGCCTCGCGGAGTAGAAGATTCCGTGGTGGACTTTCCCACCGGCCCGAAAAAGTTGTAGACTGAGCCCAATAAGAGAGTAGAAGAATTTTTTATGTGGCCTAATTTCTTATTCGATTTTTTGCATGTTTTTTTTTGGTATGCTCGATTTTTTGCATTTTAATTAAGCGATTAACGTTTCTCCAGAAATAATTTTTTTTTTTTTAACTTCAAAACGATATCATTTTCAGGTTTGGAAATTTTTTTATGGGTATTTAAATAAAATTTATAATGTAAGAAGAAAATAAAATTTCTAAAATATCCCTTACTTTTTTTTAAACTCAAAATGATATTATTTTAAATTATAAAAGATAATATTATGCAAAACACTTTTAAAACCGACCTATATATCGTGTGTTTGGTTTATTTTTTACTTTTATCTAATATATAATTTTTTTATAAAAAATACTAAAATTAATTTTTTTTGATTTTTTTAATGCAATAATAATAAACTCACTTTTTTATAAACATCAATATAAATATAGGGTTTAGTGTGTCATTTAAAAGGACACAAGTTATGTCCTTTTAACGACGTACACAGTCATACTTTGTGTAAATCTGAAAAGTTATTTTTTTTTTACTTTACATGTCAACGATGTGACTGGAAAGAGAGAAAAAAGAGCAATTTCTCATATTTACACAAAGTATGACTAGTCATACTTTGCGTAAATCACCTATTTTAAACGATACTTCTTTTTCCTATAAATATATCACCAAAAAAAAATCACTTTGCACATTTTTTTGGTAAGCATGAGGGAAAAAAAGTACACAAAAATATCAGAAAGAGACGAAACTAAACTACTACAATTAGCTGCAACAGCTCCTGGGGACCATGAATGAATACTTGGAGACTAGTAATTCCTCTGAGTACAGCCTTGGCGAGCCAATTTGTGCAAGCATTGTTATATAGATAAACTTGACCTCCCATTCTCTTCTAACCATTCTACGCGCCATATGACTATCATTTGGTTCGTTTGAGGGGCTATGCAGAACATTAATTGTTATCCATAACATCTTCTTCAATGATCAGCTTTCTAAATCCTACGTTCCTAGCTAATTCTAGCCCAGTGAGAATCCCCCAAAGTTCAGGCCAAGAAAGGTTCACACCGCCCTATAGAATAGGTGAAACCTCGAAGTCACATTCCTTTGTCATTCCTGAAGAGGCCCCCGCAACCAACCATCATGAAGTTACTGTTAACATCCCTTTGCACATTTTTGCAGAGAAGAAGGATGTTCATGTGCCTGAAAATCCGGCAGCTGGTACATGTTCTCTCTTATTTTATTAGTTATTTATTATACTTTAAAACATTGATTTGTTGTAGAAATTAACAATTAATAAGTAATTGACAAAGAGTATCAGCTTGGGGAGAGACTTCATATGACAAAGATGCCCCTCTATCGGTGGATAAGTGTAACTATTATTCATCAGCCACCACAAGTAGAATTTTTATGAAGTTATTCGTTCTAATATAGAAAAACATTGTTCTAATATATTAAATTGTAAAGAACTATGCGATTATTTTAAATTTTTCGAATATATCTATTCCGATCACTTAATTTACTAACTACATCCATTCATCATGTTGTCTTTATGATAATACTCTTATCAATTTATCCACGTTGTTTTCATTTAAGACTACTAGAACACGTCATTACAAATATATAAAATTTCTTAAAAAGTAAAGGTGGTATAAATTAAGGGTTTAATGTATGTCATATTATCAAAGATAAATTTATCTCTTATTATACGCATAAAAATATATGAAGCTCATATTTTCTTTTTCTTCCTCTTCTTTTTTCATGATCCCATATAAATCTCACATATTTTTATGTGAGTGTAAAAAATAATTTTATCTCTTACATAAAAAAACATATCCATAAATTAATAAATAAAGATTTTCGAACAAACCGAGATACGAGAAAAACTTGTCGAAAACAACACGGACAAACTCCAAATTAACTATAATTTTTGGTACTTCTCATTTCTAAATCGGAAAAAGTATATCATTTTAAATAACACACCTTGTGTCCTTTCACTTTCACAAAGAAATGAGATCAAACCTTTAAAACTTTTTACATTCACTCTCTCCCATGATCTATATTTTTCTTTCATTTTAAATGAACACTGTATGTCTTTTAAAATAATATATACTTTTTCCTTTATCAGTTTATACAGAACCCGTAACAGAAACAACATATATTATAATACAATGTGTACATGTGATATCTTAGTTTTGGAACTAAATCATTAGACCTTTCAGGCATTAGCCAACGACTTCTCCCTCAAAAGCCTAAGATCAATTCGTTTTATTTATTATATTACATTCATAGTATACTATAAACTATAAGACTATAGATTATATAATGGTCATGGTCATTTATTCAGGAATTTCAACTATTTCTTCTCCGTCCATCTTTGGTGGTTCCCGTTCCAGTGTGGTGGCTGCTTCATCTTCGTCAGTGTTGTCAATTGGGTGTTTCATGTTATCACCAAATTCTACCATCTCTCCTTCCACCTCACATGCATCATCATGGGCTAATGTCTCGTTCACATTCTGAATTTCTGATGGTTCCTTTTCTCTCCGAGGGCCTTTCTTGTACAACAAGTACAGGATGATCTGTGCAACACCGAGCAAAAACCCTAGTATGCTTGGCATCTACACGCAAACACCCAGATCAAGATGAGTATATATATAAATATAATATAAGTAACTAACTCATAAGGGATCATTAAAAAAAATATGGGTAGCTTCTACTTACGGCAATGAAGTAGTCGTGAGAAAACATGCCATAAAGGAACCAGACGATGGCACTCTGGGTCAAGCATAAAGATAAGGGGAAGGGCATGAACCTCACACTCTTTGTCTTTATGACTGTTCTCTGAGAAATTAAATTAATGTAATGAATTAAAATAACATACTTAGAACAAAAAAAGAAAGAAAAGGTTGTTGGTTTGGTATTAAATTTGTTGAGGTTTGTCATTTTTGCAGGGGAAAAATTAATTAATACTCCCTAGTGGTGTATACCATGATGCTGAGAGGCGCGGCGGAGGTACAGACAGAGGAAGTGGCGCAGATCCACCCCGCAACCTTCAACTTGTGAGGTGATGGTGTGAGCATGGATGTGATGCATACGAGGCCTATGTACACCCCACCATTGAATACAATGATTAATTGGGCTGTCGCTAACTGCATGTTTAAATTAGGAAATTAACCAAAACGGTAATTAATTAACTAGTTGATAAATACGGACCCAACTTGAAAAAAAATAAAAAAATAAATATATATATATATATATATATATATATGGAGATCTCTTGACTTCGTATAAGATTAAGAAGTTCTACTCTTATCTCAACCGTTAATTTTCGTTTATATAATGGTTATAATTTATTAAGTTGTATCTATTAATTAATTATTAGTTTTAAATAAATTTCAATTGTCAGATGAACGAAAATCAATGGCTATAATGAGAAATTAGATTTTTTAATCTTACATTGAAGTCAAAAAATCATGTCTCATATATATATATGTGTGTGTGTGTTAAGATCATTTTATACCGATATAACTTACATACTTAATCTTGGTCATTGATTTTATTTATATTTAACGGCTTTGATTTATTAGATATGTGAACCATTAAATGTAAGCCAATAAATGTTCAAGATTAGAGATAAAATTTCTTATTATTATACCGGTGTAGTAATAAACTTCACATATATATTTAATCCTTTGTATATAAATGGGAAGAGAGATCTAGCATACCCTTGTTCTGGAATTGGAAAAAGTGAAGAAGGTGATGAGATAAGCGGCTTGAATGGCACAACCAAAGGAGCCAATGGTGACGAGCAGGAATGCCCCATGGCCCTTGAGGTGGGCATAGTAGAGTATTAGCATCGAGTTGAAGAGAGCCATCGAGTAAGGGAAAACATGATAATTTTGTGTTGATCGTCGCTTGTAGATATCATAAAAGGTAATCCTACAACAAATATTTTAATTTATATATATATGAGATGTCGTTAGAGATCATATAGACACTAGTAAGGATTAAATGCACAATAAATACATATATCTATATATATATAGAGAGAGACAGAGAGATTACATTGGGGCTAAATAGCACATGATGCTGATGAAGTTGCCTGTAAAAATCACAAACAGGAAAAACAGTAAGCAGAGAAGGATGATTTATATAATATATATATATATATATATATGTAGGTGTAGATAGGAAGAAAAATAAGTGCATAGATTGAGAAGGTGTTTTACGTACCAAGAAGGCCAAAGACAAAGACGAGGGTCAAGTCATGAGGGAAGAAGGTTGCCATTCTTGGTGAGAGTGAGATCTAGATTACTTGTGTGTGAGTTATGATTGATCTTGGCAAGGAGAAGTGTCTTTAAATAACACATAAAAAGTAAAAGGATCCCCATAGATTATGGCATAAAGCACTTGCTTACGGACAACATATATACATTTGGCTTTCACTTCTCGAAGAGGTTTTCACCACCTCAACAATTGGGAGCTTCTCGTGTGACAAACTTGCTACCTAGCAAGCCGCTATTTAATTTGTTTCCCAAAATTAGGAAGTATTTAATTAGTTTGCATGTAAGAAATCATTAAACTTCCCGAAACAAAACAAAAAGCATTCTTGTCAACTTCATGAATTGAGTTTGAAGATCAGTTTTATTTTTTTGTTAACATAAGTTCTTGCTGAGGCTTAATAGTTTACTTTTTCATTTACTTTAAATAGAGATAGCTTCCTCTGGTTATAATCTTCTTTATAACCCAATAAAAAAATGAAATGATTTTTTAACTTCACAAACTTTTCGTTACTTCTACGTACTAGTTTCCCTCCCTTTTTCTTCCTTGCTAAATTTATGTAATATATGTATTTTTTTATACCAATTCTAATTACCTCTTTGAGACGAGTCGACTCCCCGTATAGTTTACAAGTTTTAACTCTTTGAACCGGCTATGAGACTAATCTCGAGTCCGAACTTAATCACAGTTAAAAATTTTCATCCATCCCCAAAAATGCATTTGAGGGAATCGAAACCATATTCTTTCTCCACTAATTACTTAACTCGTGTTGACAACTGTGGTATAATTTAAGCAAAAAATTCCTTCAATGAAGTCTATAATTTTCTTGAAAATTGTAACCTATTTGTATATGAGAAGGGTTATATTGACAATTTTTTTTTTTACAAACTATACTATGTCTTACCGGTAAGACTTCACTCAAGGGTGTCTTACCGATAAGACATATATAGTGTAGTTTGTAAATAAAAAATTTATAAATATATCCATCCCCTTTGTATATTATATAAAAGTTGTCACATGGCGAAATTTCTATTGCTTTGTCCGCAAATGTGTTGTGACAAATTGATTTGGCGTTGAGAGTTCTTAAAGTTATTTTTTACACTACAATGTCAATAACATATTTGTTTTTCCTTAATTTATTATTTTGTTTTGTTTCTTTATTCTTTTAATTTGTTTCAAACTTTTTATTTTCTTCATTCCTTAACAGTTCATGAGTTGGTAACATTGTGGAACATGTAATGAGAATGCGCGTGCGCCTGATTAAGTTTGAGCTAGACTTTTAAAGCAAATCAAGTTTATTTCCTATATTTAGAACATACAAACCTATTTAAGGCAACACCTGATTAAACCTAATTTTTTTTTAGAGTATCTCCGGTAATTTCATAAGTTTCTTATGGACTGATTCGAAGTTCGAGACAGGTTTATGATTAATGTTTTAAATCTCTCTCAAAGATGATATTGGAGAAGATCAAATATATGCATATTTTCACCTCCATTTACTCAACTCTCATACGTTAACTGAATTATCATCATTTGATAACCTAACTTCTTTCTAACCTGAGCCTAGAGTTGAAAGGTGAAAAAAAAAATCTGAAAAAGGAAATAGGCAAATTAAGTTGGGACGTGGACTAAAATGTAAATAGAAAAGAGTGAGTTAACGTGGCCAACATGGGTGCACTGAGCCAGCTAGAATGATGATGAGGATGAATCTTGCAATAACGCAAAACAGCACAAAGAAACGGAAGGGGGTGTCCGTAACATGTGACAGGGGAAACCCGCTTTTAGATGGCCCCTCTTGCTAGCCATTCCCCCGGTTATCGAAACCTGTACTCAAACTTCATATATATAGTTTAATTCTTGAATTCTTAAGCTAAATTGCTTCAATACAAACTATGAGAGAAAAGGACAAGATGACTTTCAAGCTCGCAATGTTTTGTAATGAATAGTAAGGAATACTTTTTATATTTATTTAGGTTTATGTTCTACTTTTGCTATTTTTTTTTGAAAAAATTAGATGATTAATTATCCTTCTTGTTATATTCATAAAAAAAAGGTAGATCGAAAAACTGAAAATGTATATATATTCTTTACATTTTGCGTTTGAGTGCAAGCAGCCATGCGAAATAAAAGTACAATCTTCTGCTAGCTTTCATTCATGAATCGTGTACAACGTGAGCTATATGCTAACAAAAGTTCCGGGATAAAGAGGACAGAATCTCATTTACTTTTAACATCCCACGAAGTTTGTGCATGTCGACGCCGCTCCTTTCTCGGATCACAAAGTTGGTAGCAAGATGTGGTAAAAAAATTGATAAGATATAACGCAAAATATTCTTATATTGATGTAAGAATAAGAACTTTTATATCAAATTTAGGTCATTGATTTGCTTCAATCTAATGACTTAAATATTTAATAAATTAAAACTATTGGATATAAATAGAATCAACAGCCAAGATTAAAAATGTAACTTAATGGTGTAAAATAATCCTAACCTATTATAATAAAATCCTACTTCATTAGGATTTAGTTTTAAGGTTAAAGAGTCTAATAGAATCTGTTACGATTTGAATTACAATTCTTGCACTACTACTTACATAAATTTACTTACGATTTGAAGGAATTGTTGGGTGCAATCCCCCCCCCCCCCCAAAAAAAAAGTTTGCCCTCCATTCTTGACTACACATTTTGAATGACCTCAGTTGATGCGCTTGAGCTGACTGACTTGGATTGAGCTTTTTTATTATTTAGAGGTTTTTTTTAATAATTGTTAGTTATTTATCCTTTTGTTATTTGAGCTTTTTTATATTCTAGGGCTTTTTAATAATTGTTAGTTATTTACCTTTTTTATTCTATTTTGTCTATTTAAGGGTTAGAGAATCCTAGTGTTATCAGGTTGTTTTTGGTTAAATAAAATTAAGATAAGAGAAAAGTATTTTCTCGCAATTCTTATTTCATTCTTTCTTTCAGTTTAGCCAATTGGTTACTATTTCTGCATTATTTCGTAATCAGAGCTCTGTTTGTCATATAAATGGCTGAAGCGGTCGAGGTCAAGCCCGTGGACAATGGGGACAAGGCGACGGTGGCGGTAGAGGGGCATGGTAAAAGCCTTAACAGCGACGGCGGACGACCACACATCTACGTGCGAGACGCCATAATTGTAGCTGCAATGGTGGAACAAGATAGACGAATTCAGGAGCTCAAACAACTGTTTGTCCTAACACAGTTGGACGAGTTAGATGAAGGAAAGAAGTCTGAAAGATCATCTCATGTAGAGGAAAAGGGCGAAAACCCATTCTGGAACTATGAGCAACAAGGATGAAGTCAACCTGGCGATAAATTCTTTTTTGCTAATATTGGGGTGAAGATAGAGATCCTGAAATTCAAGGGCACCACTCATCCAGATGAGTTTATCAACGAGTTACACACTGTCGAAAGGGTCTTTGACATCAGAGACTTGACAGAAGACCTGAAGGTCCCGATCTATGATGAAATTGATGAAGAGCAAGATGATGAGAATCCCGTTATGGATGCTCTAGAATTTTACAAGTACTAGTATGGGTCCGCCACTGTCTTCACCCATTCTCAATAGTTTACAAATTTTTTAAATAGATCCCTTCATTTCTAAAATTTTGTAACTAAATCTACGGAGATTAACGGTCAGTTAAATTCTATTACTAAGTTTTGTTGACGTGGCGTGAACTTTAACTAATTAGTTATGCTAATGTGTTCAAGTATTAGCCATTTTAGACATTAAGACCTCTATATATATGGATTCCACATGCTTTTCCCTCCCTAATTTTATCCTAGCTAGTCTCCAAGTTGGTCCTATTTTCATTGTAACCTTTGGTTTTCTTCCTCCATCCTCGTCTTGACTCTAGCATCGCCCAAACCATGACATCAAATCCACACTGGGAGATTGTTTGACATGTTTTAGTTTTAGTTTTTTATTTATTTAAAAGCAAAAGTTTAACCAAACATAATTTTATAAAAACTTCTATTATAAAAGGAGTTTTTTTTATAATGAAAGAAAAAGTTAAAAGCTACTAATAGGAGTTTTTTTTTTAAATGTATGTCAACTTTTTGGAGTCTTCATATTATTTTATAATTTTGTCCTTATTCTAAACTTGTATTTATAAATTTCATCCTTTACCCTAATAATACATCTCACACTACAACAAAAATGTTATTTGGCCACATTTAAAAATGTGGCAAACATTGATAAAAAATGTAGCTAATTAACTTTACCACATTTTAATTAAATGTGGCTAATAGTGGTGTTGCAATAATTTAACCACATTATTTTATTCACTTTGTCACATTTTGACAGAGTGTGGTAGCTTTTTTTTAGCCACATTTATTGTTAATTTAGCCACTTTATAAATGTGGTTAAACTGTATAATTTGCCACAATAAAAAAATGTGGCTACTTATGTATGAATTTTTTTTAGCCACATTCTTCATGAATGTGGCTAAATATATGAATTTTTTTTTTAAAAAAATATTTCAAATTTAATAAAATTACATTAATAAAGAAAATAATATTAAATCATGCAAAATAGTAAACACGATAAAACGTGAACCAAACTCCAAATCC